ACGCCCAGCCGCAGTGGCCTCCGGCCTGTGTCTCTGATGTGGCCCAGACACGCGGGGCTGCGCCGCTGCCTCGGCTCTCCTTCCCGTGCGGCCACCTCCCCCAGCACACCCACCCCTCCCCTCGTGCCTGCAGCCCCTGCTCGCCCATCAGCCCCTCAGTGAGGCCTTCCTGGACCACGACCAGGAGGACTTCAAATCCAACTCCCCCAGCCCACAACAGCTGGCCCTGCCCTCCTCTGGGAACTTAATTTTCTCCACAGCACTTGCCACCGTCACTTAACGAATTCTTTGCTTCCCCTTCTGTTTATCTTCTGCCTCCTCCCACTCTGATGGAAGTGCCTGGGAGGTCGGGGATTCTTCTCCGGGTCACGCGCTGCTTTGTTCCCAGGGCCTAGGACAGGTCTGGCACCTAGTACACGCTCAATAAATATTTAGTGGAATAAATAACTGAACTAATGAACAAATGGAGTAAATGCATGAAAGAACAAGATGAAAGCGCCTGATGCCTCAAGAACCTGCAATGAGCAGAGGCGGCGACTCAGGTCATCCGAGGGCACCTTGCCCGTCAGGTCACAGCTGCATACCAAGTGCACTGCCGCTTACATTAAAAAATGCAATGCCTTTTTTTATTACATAAATTCATTTTAAAAGGAAACTTTATATCAGTAATACAAGTGAAAAGCCAGTACCACTCAACACAAACAGAGTAGCAAGCATAAGAAAAACCACCGAAACAAAGCCACGTCCCTAAATCCCACTCACAGGTGGGTGACTGCACAATCTCTGAACCCGCTGCCCGTTGCTTCCTTGTTTAAAAGTGAGGTCACAGAACGTTACAGAGGCGTTAAAGACACATTATCAGTAAATCACTACTCTGGTGTAATCAGAAGAATTTACAAGTTAAAAGGGCAATTTATTTATCTGTTTCAAAATTCTCTGTGCACCACCTCCAAGCCCCCAGGGCCCGTATATGGACTAACGGACACCACCAGTGAGACCACGGGCACTCGCAGGGCTGTGATGAGGGAGGGGACTCTGCAGGGGCCAGGGCACCCACCCTGCAGGACCGAATTCATCAGAAGTCACGGAAGGGCTGCAGGCATGGGACAGACTCTGCCACTTTGGCATTTCAGCTCAGGCGCTTCTGCACTGCAGAGGAGGGCTGCAGGGAGAGACCCGACGCGGAGGAGGCCAGACAGGAAGCTGCAGGACAAATTTAAGTAGGACGGTGGAGGTCGGCACAAGGTAGCAGCCCTGATGACAGGACACAGCCGCCTGTAGGACGGCCTCATCAAGCCCCGGCGGGTCATTACATGTAGGGTGGGGACAGCGACGGGGTGGGTCGCCCAGCCTCGGCAGGAGCGGCGTCAAGGCAGCGGCAGCCGAGAGGAGCCAGCTCAGCCTCTGGCCTGCCAGCTCCCCTCAAAAAGAGAAAGAGACACCATGCATGCACTCACATCCCCGCAAACATCAGGAAGAAACGTGCCAAAATACTAACTGTAGGTCCCTCCGAGTGACACCTTTACAGTTTTACGTACTTCCCCGAATGCCTACATTTAATAAAACCACTTCCAAGGCCACCAGAAGAACTTACATGAAAGAAAAGGCCAAGTATCTCAGGTAAGAAAGAGAGCAACGGGGTATCCCTGGACATTCGATCAGCGCAGCTGCAAGCAATGTGCTAAGCATCAAATCAGAGAATCACAGTCATGCAAAAATATCTAACCCAGATTTCAACTCACCTAAGTATTGACTGCTCAGCTTGAAGTTCTGACCTAAGTACAATCATTTCACGCCTTTGCCGATAACCAAACACAACCACCACTGACGGGGAAACGGGTCACGTTCTCACTACCCCACTGGCGCCACGATTCTCAGAGGAGGTGGTCACTCACCGGCCAGGTTCCAAGGCAGAACTTACAATGTTCTCTAAGTTCACCATTCACCATGCTGAAAACAGGTAATTCACTAAAAAGCTACGGAAATTAGAAAGAAGACCAACAAACACTCGGCCCCGCCCAGCTCCCGCCTCACTCCTGCCCCTCGCCATCCCGAGGGCTCCCGTCCAACCGAGAGCCTTCTGCAGAAACACACACCTTCCCTCCTTATGGAGGATGTACCGTGAAGAGGAAGACGACGCCAGAGTGAAATCTGACGTGAAAGGACGTAGAGGAAAGCTGAGGAAGAGAGAAGGTTCTGACGTCAAGACAACACGCTGACCCGGAAGGCTGCCCGCGGCATACACGGCCCAGAGGGGCAGCGCCCTGCACGCGGCCCTGCCGCATCAATACACTGATGAAGGGGGAAAGGAGAATTATTGCAGTGAAAACGGAGCTCTCTCACTAAAACAAACAGACAGAAAGCATTCTTCAGAGAAGTGACTTTGTGCCAGTCGTCTGAGACCCGGCACTCGAGGGCCTCACCTCCATGAACTCGTGGAAGACCCGGTCACTCTGGTGAGAGCCGATGGTGACCTCTGGGAGATAGACAGGGATGGTTGTGTAATTCAGCACCTCCAACTTGTTCTGAACCCTAGAAGATAAGGCAGACATAGTCACACTAAACATCAAAGTAAATATAATAAAATAAGCTATCAGGCTGATTCTTTTAAAACATCCATATTAAAAAATTCATCCGTGCATTCCCAAGCAGTCATCTCAGAAGCCAAACTTTCCCCCAAAGACCATCTGGGCTGTGGGAGCTGCTCTTCTGAAAGCACTTCCAGAGCCGGAGACAGGGTCTTTCAAGAGTCTCATGGCCACAGGTGACTCCCTTTGGGGACAGACAGTTTTGAAAAATAAAAAAGGAGCCGCAGTGTGTTTTAAACATAGGACTACCAGGAATACAAAGCTAAACACAAACACTACACGTCACAGTGCCGCACGCGTGGTCTGCTCTCATGAAAAAATGTGCACATTTAATGACTCTTGGGGGAAAGAGAGACGAGCAGCTCTCCTGCACCTCCCCCCCCAACTCCCCACCGCCCCGCGCGATGCCCACGCCGCCTGGCGATTCCAGGAGCTTCCAGGAGCTTCCAGGAGCGGAGGCTGACGAGGCCTTCGTGGAACCGGAGGGCGGGGCTGGGGTGAACTGCCCCGCAGGACGGCCTGCTGCACCCCTGCTTATAAACGTCTTCTTCCCTGCTTTTCTTGGCACCGAGAAACACACATGAGAGGACACACTCCTTGTTTGACCATTTTATTTTGAATGCTAAAATATTTATACTTTGTTATAACTTGCTTATTTTAAATTAAATTTAGTCTGAATATAACCACTATCCTTGAAGATAAAAAGCATTTTGAGTGCTTTTAGGAAAAAATGTTAAAATAAAGTTTCCTTTCTTTAGGGCTCAAAACAAAGAAAATGATTATTTTAAATGGCCCCTTTCCCATTAATGACTTATAATGGCAGAATACGTTTCTGCCTGTAATGGCCCAAACGGAAGCTCTTTTAAATCGATCTGGCTCTCAGTCGCTTTGTGAGGACAAGCCCAGGCCTGTCCCCTGCACCCTGGGCAGACTCAGCCGCAGTCAGAACCACCTGGTCCCAGCCCAAGCCCAGGTGACACTCGGCCCCTCTCCCATAGAGGACCACAGAGCACTGAGAACCTGTGACAGGCTGAATGTGACTGCATAGGAGGCACAGGCACATCCCAGGGTCACCGTAAACACTGTGCTTGTGTCACTCGTATGACAACTAGTAATCCAATAACCAAACATCACTCCAAGCAAACTCTGCTGTGACATCTTGCATATTTTCTCAGTTTTAACTGTAAGTTGGTTATAGAATACCTTTTGTCAGCATGTATCAATAAAGTAAAGTACATATTTATTTTTTAACACAAATAGAATTATTCTATACTTATGACAGCAAGGATAATTTTTAAAGTGATCTCACCATAAACAATTTCAACTAAAAATGAAGTTTATATTTTTAAATGTTAATAAATATCAAAGTGGGGTATGATTTGATTTTCTCTGTGGTTTGAAAAACCTAAAACAACCCTGAAGAACTGGAAAGAACAGACTGGCCTAGGGGCTTGTGTGTAATATACAGAGCAACGGCGCCATCTATGCTTAATTTGGCAGAATTACAGTTTACACACAACCCCCCCTTTCAAAATGGGTGTATCTTTGAACAAATATCTTCAAACTGCCTTTGAAGATTAAAAAAATAATCTACAGTGACTGTTCTCCCACTTACTCAAACTTGGATAAACTGCTCCTTCACTTTCTGACTACCAGCTTAAACGATGACCAAGAAGGGCCCGTGTGCCCCGTCTCCAGTAAACCCCAAATCTCAGCCTCCAAAAACTACAGACACATTCCAGATTGAAGATAAGCGAGGAAGGAAGACAACAGGAAGCCTTTTATGACTCAGGAGCAAAAAGTGGTGAAAGGAAACATTCCGTTCACAGAGCACTTAGTTTAATTAAGGAGATTCAAAACCTGAGCACATGCTCTTCACATCACAGGCCAAAGTGCACCCGCCCCCTGCCCCTGTAAGAAGATAGAGCATCCTACAGTGTGGTTCACAAAACGAGGTGCTCTGCCACATAATTCCAAAACAGAAGAGTGAGGCCAAGAAGAGAAAGAAAACAAAAATAGTAAACTATGACTTATGACTCAAAGTGTTTCCCAATTAACAGAATGCTTATACTTTCTCCTAAAACATGTCCAAAGCATATTCTTTAGTTTCTCCTGAATTGCAAAGTTCTGCTTGAAACCCTATACTTCTGATACCAAACTCATACCCTGCAGTTTTTGTAGCACTGGAATTTCCTGTTAGAAAGCCATCCTCCAGGAGTCTGAGAAACACAAGTCGCAGCGATGAAGCAGCAAAGGGCGAGAGGGGAGCCCAGGCTCTGGAGGCGGGAGGAAGGTGGACGCAGTGGAGGCCTCACTGGTAACAAGTCTCCAGCACGAGGATGAAACCACCAGGGCGGCGCCGGTCAGTTATGGATTACGGATACGAACACAAAATGCTATCAAGGTTGGGAAATAAGCACTCACACGCACATAATTATACACCACACACGTTCGGAGATGGTACAAAAATGTCCTCAACCAATAATTTGGTCAGGTTCTAGACAAAATGAGTGTAACTGGTAAATGGCAGGTTTACCATAATTATCTTAGAAAATGGTCATAATTTTCACTTGAGTCTCCCAAATTACGAAGTGGTACTTAAATGAAAGTAAACACAATTACCACTGGAAACCATTATGCAATATCCTTGGGAGGCAGAGGAGCAAAAAACTGCAAGAAGGAAGAACAATACCATTTATTTCAAAAATAATTAAAAACAACTGAATGCTGTAATTTGTAAACTGTGAGGGAATGACAGGCTCCCTCTCCATGCTCTGATATCAACATAACCGAATAACTAATAAGATTATGATCTTAAGACGTGAACTTTGGACATGGTCTAGCATCTAACTGATACACATTCCAGAGTACCTTTAGGAATTACACTGTGCTTACTGCCCGTGGAAGGAATGGAAAAGGCATCCCACATTGCCCAGTCTCAACAAGATGTCAGGGTGCCAGGACAGTCACCTTTTTGTATGTTTTTCACGTACTCTGCCCCGCAGTAGCTAATCCTAACAAGAATCACATATCAATCCACATAAAACGACAACCGGAAAAGTTAAGAGAAGGGTTCAAGTAGAAAAGAAGGTGAATAGAGCGAGGCTTAGGAGAATGTTCAGATCTTTGGGTAATTACTGGGCAGAGCGGGAGGTAATGGATCCAGGAGACTGTCTGTATCCTGATGGAAGAGGTAAAACCAGATGATTAGGACTCTGAATTAATTCTAGGAAATGAAACTTGGATTTATGCCTAAACCAAGATACGCCACTGAAGGATTCTGAGTAAAGAAAGAACAGGGTCACTGTGACATTTTATGAAAATTAACCTGGCGGGCGTACGCACAGGGGATGGGTGGGATGAAGAAATAACTAACCAAGGAGCGGAGATCAAACCCCAAAGAAGAGTCACCGGAGACCAGCACCACCCTGAGGGCGGGACCCAGGGGAAGGTGAAGGGTCAGTAGAGAAAAGGAGGGTTCAAGCAGATGACCCCAGGGGAGGAAGCAACGACCCCACCTGGACTCCAGCCGAGGCCGAGATAGGAGGGAGGGCACAACGGAGACAGCAGGAGGGCGCAGCAAGCTGCGGGCTGCGTGGCCCACCACGGCTCCAGGACCTCAGCAGGGCAGTGCTCTTGGAGGCCCAGTCCCCCACCTGCAAGAGGATGGGAGCCTCCACCAGGCAGAGTGCTGTGGACTCAGGAAACGTTTCTCAGATACCTCCCAGACACGGTGTCGACGCTGACTGTGTGCCTGTGATCAAGCTGACACCTCAAGCTCTCATCAGAGGGAGAACACCACGCAGCAGCTCAGGCAGACCTCATCTCACGTGGTCTGCTCTACTGCACTGTGCAGACGCTGCGTCTCTTACAAGTTGGAGGTTTGTGGCAACCCTGTGTTGTCAGATGGTGGTTACGATTTTTTAGCAATGAAGTGTGTTTTAATTAAGGTGTGTGTACACTTTTCTAGACATGATGCTACTGCACACCTAACAGACCACGCTTTGGTGTAAACATAACTCTTACATGCACTGGGAAACCAAGAAGTTCATGTGACAGACTTGCTTTACTGTGGTGGTCTGGAAGCAACCTGCATTATCTCTCAAGTCTGCCTGTAAAGATTATTTTTTTTAAACAAGGTTCACAACGAAATAGTACATAATATCATTTAGGTAAATTTACAAACACATATACATATGTAAGTATCTGACAAAAAACAAAGTCAACCACTAAGCTTTAAAAACCGAAAAGCGGGGGCTTCCGTGGTGGCGCAGTGGTTGAGAGTCCGCCTGCCGATGCAGGGGACACGGGTTCGAGTTGGCATGAGCCCCACCCAACCCTGCCCCTGGGCAGGCTGGGAACTTGGGAATGGGAGACACACACCCGAACCCATCAGCCCACAAATGAGAGTATAAGTCCAGTTGAAAACACACCAAGGGACTTCCCTGGTGGTCTAGTGGTTAAGACTCTGTGCTTCCACTACAGGGGCATGGGTTCAATCCCTGGTCAGGGAACTAAGATCCCGCGGGCCATGAGGTGTGGCCAAAAAAAAAACATAAGACCAACTACATGCCATCTATAAGAAACCCACCCGAGATCAATCCAAAGACTAAAAGTAAAGGGATGGAAAAAGATACACCATTCCTAGGAATCCTTTACACAGGGGCCCTGTGTAAGGGTAAAGAGCTCAGTCGCCCAAGAAGAGACTTAACATCCTAAACACGCACGCAACTCACAGAGCACCAAAACACAACGAGGCAAAAACGAATAAAACTCAAAGGAGAAACAGACAAATCTGCCATTGTAGTTAAAGATTTCAACACTCTCCTTCAGGAACGGACAGATCCAGCAAACAGACAAGCAGTAAGGACATGGATGACCTGAACATCACCACCAATCAGCTCAATCTCACTGACATTTGTAGAACACGCCATTTGACGACAGCAGAATACACATTCTTCTCACGCTCAGCCAGAACATTATTCAAAACAGAAAACACTGCTGACCATATGAAACGTCTTAACGAGGGTAAAAATCATACAAAGAAATTATACAAAGTATGTTCTAAGACCACAATGGAATTAAACTAGAGGGAAATTTATAGCATCGAATGCATACATTAGAAAAGAAGAAAGATCCAAAATCAATCATCTAAGCGTCTACCTTAGGAAACTAGAGAAAGAAGAGCAATTGAAGCCTAAAGGAAACAGGTTAAAAAAACCGCAATAAAAATTGGAGTAGATGTCAATGAAACTGAAAACAAGAAAACAACAGAGAAAATCAATAAAACAAAGAGCTGGTGCTTTAGAAAGATCAATAAACATGAAGAAAAAATTCACAAAGGACAAAAAATAGCCAATAAAATACACCTGTTTGAAGTTCAGTGTCTATGAAATCCAAAAGTAAAGCAAATGCTTTTCTTTGATATCAAAATCACAAGTTTTTGTTTGCTTCTTATCTTAACTATTCTGTCTTAATAAGGGCTTTCAGAAGACCGGTTCAAGTGTGCAAGCTGGTACACATCTTCTGGAGAACAATTTCACAACACACCAATAGTTGCAAAATGTGTTCATATAATCTGACATGGTAACTCCACTTTTATACATTAAGAAAGTAACCTGAAATGGAGCAAAAATAAATACACTATGCTCATTACCATTATTACGATTATGAAGAAATGGAAATAACCCAAAAGACTGATATTAAAGAAACGGTAAATGGATTATGCCTGTATCTCAGAGGTCAACAACGTTTTCTGTAAAGGGCCAGATAGTAAATATTTCAGCCTGAGAGAGCTACGTACGGCTTCATATATGTACTTTTCCCTTCGGTCTTTTAAAAATGTAAAGACCATTCTTAGCAGCTGAGGCCTGGGTGGGCCCACAGACCATGGTTTGCCAACCCCTGACTGGCATCGGTCAGTGGATTTATGCAGCGTGAGCAGCCATTCAAAAATCAAACGTGTAACAAGATAGGGACATGCTCGTATTAGAAGTTACAATACAAAGACATAATGAAAGGTAATTTTTATTTAGAAATACATGAACACACCGACACTTTACAAAAGACTGGAAGAGCCTGCACTAAACTCTGACGCTGGCTCCTGTGGTGGCAGAACTGTAGGTGATCTGTCTCAGGCTTGGACTTCTGTTTCCTGACTTTCTTCTACGGGTGGGTGTGACTCTGACCTCTGACCCTCCCGATCCCAGTCTTTTTTCAGTGCCCCTCCCCAGGTTAAATTCTTCACCATCACACTCACTCTCAGCTCTCCTGCTCACTCACATCCACCGGCAAACCCCGACCCTGCGCGCACGCAGAGCTCTGCCCCACCCGCACTGTACCTCCATGACCACGCACCCCCGTCCGCGGCAGCCGCCTACAGCTCCTCCCCCGTCGGGCCCTCCCGCGGGCCCGGGCAGCGTCCTGGACCTTCTCCTCCCTCCTCAAACCGCAACACGGCCCCTCCCGCCCTCAAGGCCTCTTGGGGCTGATGACCAGTCTCTCATTTCACTATGAAGACAGAAGCCAGCTGAAGAGAAGCTCCAGGCGCGCCTGGCACAGACCCACTTCCCTAAGCCCCGCCCTGTCCCCGCCTGCCCAGCGCCAGCGTGGGAAGCAGGGACTGCCCACCAGTGCACCAGCCCACGCCCTCCTCCAGGGCCTCTCCTGTCCTCTCAGTATCCATACCCCCAGCCCAGCCACAGGACCTCTCCCACTGGTACAAAACATGTGATTTCTTCCACCTTAAAACACACAACAGGGCTTCCCTGGTGGCGCAGTGGCTGAGAGTCCGCCTGCCGATGCAGGGGACACGGGTTCGTGCCCCGGTCCGGGAGGGTCCCACATGCCGCGGAGCGGCTGGGCCCGTGAGCCATGGCCGCTGAGCCTGCGCGTCCGGAGCCTGTGCTCCGCAACGGGAGAGGCCACAGCAGTGAGAGGCCCGCGTACCACACAAAAAAAAAAAAAAAAACGTGAAAAATGAATAAAATTTTAAGTCTTAGTTTTAAGAACTAAATCAATAGGTTCAAAAGGAAAAATAATTCACTTTCAAGCACAGGATATGGAAAACTAATGGCAGTCCATTTTCCATACATGCTCATATTAGGATGTGTCCAAGTGGAAAAAAGCAAGTGTGTTCACTATTGAGAGAAAAACTGACCTAGCAAAGTGCCCTGCACCGCGGAAGGCCAGCAGACCAGCTCCGCGGCGCTCACCCAATGGGCTGACGGCAGAGCGGTCACCCAGGCAGAAGGCCACACGAGGGTCACACAGACGTGTGTTCCCCAACACTGACCCAGCCCCGCCACCGCCTGAGCCTGGGTGCCAGCAGCGCAGGCCTATGCGAACCTCTGCCAGGCCCCCGCCCCGGGGCTCAACAGGGGTCAGCTCCCCGGATCCCTCTAGCACAGAGGCAGTCACCTACGCTCACAGGAAAGTGACGTTTCCTGGGTCGGAGCTGTCTTCTCTGCCTGGAACGCTTCTGCAGAAGCACAGCTCGTGCGCCTACAGACCTCGCCCATTGCTGCGAGCACAGCAGGCCTGCGCCGCCGTCTCCCTGGGCTGGAGAACCAAGCCCCACGCACCAGGGACAGCGTGACCACGGTGAGAACCTGCCTCCTCGCTGGGCGGCTGGGACCCAAGTAGGTACTAAAGCAGAGGGCGCTGTGTGACCAGCACCCAGCACAAGCTCCACACTGAGTGTCTAATGGGCTTTCTGGGCAAAATACTGCCCACGTGTTACTGCATCTCTCATGAACAGAGTAGCTCGCTCAGCATGTCCCCTTCTGCCGTGGCCTCCCCCACCTCCACGTTCACCACAGCCTCCCCGCCCCTTCTCTCCCAGCTCCAGCCCCAGCGACTCCTGTCTCAGGACCTCTCCACCCGCCGGCATCCCTGCCTCGTGCTCACCCCAGGCACTGCGGGGCCCAGTCCTCGCACACTCGGGTGTCCTCAGAAGAGAGGCCTTCACGCCTTCCCCAGAGCGCCCTCTGTCACTCACCCCAGCCACTGGCTGCCCCATTACTCAGGGTCACCTTTCTCCCCAGCCTTTAGCACCCGTATGGCTCTACTGATTCAGTGACAGCAGGACTTTTATTTGACACTATATTCCCTCAATCTGGAACACTGCCTGGCACAGGGTGCAAGCAAAATATTTGTTGAATTAATAATGGCAGTCTATCAATTCACTGTCAGATCAGAGAAAGCAAGAGCCTGTTTGGAAGGGAATAGGAAGTTCGCCTCGGTATCTGGCAACCTGCAACGCAGTTACTCCAAAATTCTGTAAATTCCCACAGCAGGCAACGCGCCGCACTGGAAGCCAGCCCTGCCCCATCCCGGCACCTCCCAGCTCCGGCAGACTCACCGCATCCTCAGACCGTGGAGAGTGCGGTCGTCCTGGTCCAGCCACGGGCCTTTCTCGTACTTCAGATACTCAATATCCTCGATCACCTGGACAGAGGGATTTAATGAGACAACATTCAGCGCGTGAAAACCACAAATACCTGGCAGGGAGACTCGCACCGTGAAAGTCAAAATGAAAGGAAGTTGGGCAGACAGCCTTCTGTGAAGTGGGGGCCGAGTGACGACGCCCAGTGTGGGCACCTGGCCCAGCTGACACCGGGGTGCTGTGGAAACTCCCTGGCAGGCTGGGAGAAAAGGAGCAGGTGCAGGAAGAATCAAGATGAGGGAGGAAAATCAGCATTCCTCACAGACTCCTCATTTCATCCCGTGTACCTTTCTTCCAGAAGGCCAGATTCAGCCGCTCAAAACAACAACAGGACAAGAAAATAAATACATTTCCTAGAGAGCGCCAATAATCCAAGTTCCTCAGCCCCAAAGCCTGCGGTCCGTACAGCCTGACCTCCCAGCGGGGCTGCCTTTCCAGACGCATTCTCCCCTAAAACACACCGAACTTGGGGACCTCTCTTTAGCTTTCAAGAATTGGAGCACATTCAGTTATGAACACAAATAATAACCCAGTCTGCTCAGGCACATGCCATGGAAACAGTCTGTCAAAGGAATAAAAATTACCTAAAGGCAAACAAAAATCAACATCACAGAAAAAGAAGGCTGGATGGAAATGAAATGCAATGTAACGGGTCCAAGTAGAAAGAACCAAGCCTAAAAGAACTGCCAGGGCTGGGCCCAGAGCCGGACTTGACTGCAGGTCTCCCGTCCTGGAGGAGAGAGGCCTACTCCCTCCAACTCTCTCCTCCCCTCTCCCCAAGCCAGGAGGCAGCTGAGGGCTGTGCTATCATTAAAGCAGCCAACTGCTTTGCAAAGCTTTCTGTTTGCTGCCACCACCTACACCCCAACACCAGATCATAAAACCTGTATTTTCTTCTAGATTTTTTACAACTTTTGTTGTGTGTTTTTAGTAATTTGTGCTTAATATATAACATAAAATACAGGCCTTTTTTTTTTAACGTAACGGATGGTCATTTGCCTCAATACCATTTAAGAAATAATCTATTTTCCTCTACTTTGTTTTTTTATCAACCTTTAAGGTACTGACTTTTCCAAGCTAAAGTCACAAACACACATGAGCACCACACACACATGCACCTGTTTCTGCACCCTGTTCTGTTCCATTAAGCTATTTATCAATCCTTGCATTAATACCACAGTGCCTTAATTAACATAAGTTTGTAATATGTTTTCATACTTGGGCAGGAAAACGTTATTCTAACTCAAAATTTTTGGTTATTACTCACTAAGTTCTCAAAATTGCAGAGGTTGACTTGATTTCACAAATGCACCTGCGAATCTGGGGAAAGCTGGTATCTTTACACAGTTGGCTGCTGAACAACATGCTCCATGCAGTCAAAAACCTGAGCGCAACTTGGAGGCGGCCCTCCTTGTGCGTGGACAGTGGTCCCTGCACATCCGCAGTGCCGTGTAGCACCAGGATGTTTATTACTGAAAACTGAAGACCGTGCAGTGCTATAGGATTTGCTACTGAAAAAAATCCACGTATGAGCAGACACGCACGGTTCAAACCCATGTAGTTCAAGGGTCAACAGTCTTAATAAGTCTTTCCTGTTAACTAATCCAACTTTCAGTTTTACCATCTGTTTAACAAAAATGTTGGTGCAGATAACCTAAGGTTCTTTGTATCTTCACCATTCCATACTTTTAAGATTCTAGAAGCTGAATAATTTAAAAGAAAATAAAAATCTCATGACCAGGGGAATGTGACGGGTTGGCTCTTTTAGATTATAAAACACAGATGCCTCTAAGACCAGTAGGAGCTGAATTCGTTACCTGATTCGTAAAAACCTTATACATGAATTAAATTTAAGAATAATTATAAATTTTTCAGCCGTTTTCTTACCTTTTCTGCATCTTGAGCTTCCCTTGCACTGTACTGTAAAACCTCACATTTTTCACTGTAAGAGAAAACAAGATAACATTCATGTACATTTTCCACATGGACGTTACTGTACAAATGAATACGCGACATCAAGGCTCCCACTCTAAATATCAACACTCCACATTCTCTGAACTGGCTCACAAGGCATGACCAGCTAAGGAGGGCAAGTCAGAAGCAGGGACATGCTCGAGGCTGGACGGTGACAGCTGCAGGTCTGTTTCCTGACCTCCCCTCTGACTGGACCCCCCCGCCGCCCCCGCTGCATGGGCGTGAGGCCAGCATCTACAGGGGGCAGGGACACGAGTCATCTGTGCTGTCACACAAACCACCTCTAGCTGCAGCACTCACTACAGGAAGGGACAGGGGAGCCCGGGGCCTGAGTGGGACGGACGCACAGAGAGCAGCTAAGTGGTGTTTGGGGGGTGGGGGTAGCGGAGCCAGAGCGGGGATGGGAGGGGCACGTTACTTGAGCTGCTGGAATTTCGGAGACAAATGAAACCCTCAAAATAACCTGTTTCAACCAAACTATGCAACAGGACAGCAGCAACTCGGTTCCCTTAGTCCAGGTCCTTAGTCTGGACACTGAAAAGTCACGCTGGGTCCCAAAAAGGGGGACAGTAGAGTGAGCTTCCTGCACATCTACCCATTTCCTCACCACATCTACTGCTGTGCGGAGACCTGGCTGCCCAGCCAGGCGAAGACTGAAAGCGCTCCGCATCTCCTCATTCAGGCGTCTTTACAGCAGAGCGCCCCCTGCCGACGGGAGCTGCATCTACACCAGGGTCAGTACTCCAGGAACACACGGCCCCCCACACATATGCCCACATACAGCTCCTCCGATACAAACTACTGGAAGCAGGGCTCCACCCAACCTTCCTGCAAAGCGGTTCCAGGCGGGAAGCCCGGGCCCTGTGCAGTGTTGGGCAGCAGCGCACAGGACGGCCTGTAACACCATCATAAACAGAGTGGAGTTTCCTGTTTTCAGGTGAATAAATACATCATCTTAAAATAAACATATTCTGTAGTCACAGTCCCGTGATACATGTGTCACATGAAAAGCAAACAAACATCAACAAAAAACCCTCTTTTTTATTTCATCTGGTTTGCTCACTGCTTATCAAAGTAGAAGCCAGCGTTCGGGCCTGAGGTGCCTGACTGGTGGTGAGTCTGCAATGAGAGAGACGGAAACAAAAGGACAGCAGCGCAGCCTCTCAGAGTGGAAGCCCGACTCCATGCCCCAACAGGTTCGGCTCCACAGGCAGAGCCAGACCCTCGGCTGCACTTTCCCCTTTCAGGTGGCTGAGGCTGGGGACAAAGAGAGAAAGAAACCAACCTGGGAATCTGGGAAGTCCTCACGGCAGAAACAGAGGTCCGTTTCACAACGCACAGTAGGTCTAACACTCCTGAGCAACTCTGAACTAACCAAGCCCGTGGCACTTAAAAACATCCAGACTCAGCCCAACCTGCGAAGACGCCAGAGAAGCCTCTCCCTCCAAAGTGCGACCTGATTCTTAGGAGAGTGAGCGACCCTGGCACGAGGAACCAGCAGAGGCCGCAAAGGCCCCGCTGTAAATGACCGGCGCACCTCACGTCCTCAGGGGCACCTCCCAACGAGGGCCCCACACACCACAACGCAGGAAGCTCACCCTGCCCGCAAGGTTTCTCAGAATGAGGTGCGGCTAATGACACTGAGAGAAAGCTGCTGTTTCAAGCCCGGGAATCAGCGGGAAGGCACAGCATCTGCGCTGTTACGGTGAAACCACCAAGCTCCCCAGACTGACCCCGGCGGGGTGACCCAGCATGCGGCACCACCGTCCAGCAGAGACCAAGAGCCAGTAAAAACCCATCCTTAGGAACTACCAGTCCATCACCAGCGAGCCACGGCTTCCAAATCGTGCGGCGACCCACAAGGCCCGCGCCCGACCACCGAGGCAGGGATGTGGAAACAGAGCTGAATGTCTGAACGTCTGCCCTGATCAGTGAGGATGTGAAAAACCGTCCGCTCCACGCTGGGATTCACCAGTCACCAGAGGGCAACGTGCTGGGCTAGGTTCACCAGCGGAGGAGGAGTCTGTCTGGTCTCCAGCACAACGGAAAGTGGCCCCTCGGAAGCGCTGAACCGTGGAGAGGCCACGAGCTGACGCCCAACGCAGCTCAAGGACGGAGTGCCAAATGAAGCAACGGATACTTAGAATCACTGCTAAACATTTCATGATCAGGAAGCCCTGAGGGTTAACTGCCAGGTATAAGAAAAATCCCACCCCATCTGCAAGTTCTATCTGGCCTTTACTTTCCTGATGTTACAGCTGAAAGTCCTATTTGAGAACTTGCTGGGCAGCCTTGTCTCGGTGGTGATTTTGTAGCCAGAAGATCTCCAGGAGGAATCTTTGGAACTGAAATCCTAGGGTCAACTATCTCTGTTTATTCTCATAGCTCTATACATTCCCCTGGACAAGATTTACAAAACTGACTTTTTTCCTGCACGTCTGGCCTTGAAAATAGAGTGGTACGACCTACAGTCCGCCCTGTTGCTTCTACTGCCCATGAGGGAAAAGCTTATCACAAGCAAGCAGAGATACTGTAAGCCTCAATGCTCACAGCTAAAAAAATTACATTCCAATTTAAAATCAAACTTTTCTTCCAAAACTGCTAGACATTACTTTGTTTTCATTCACAATTTTACAGTTACTTTGAAATTTTAAACAAGAGCATAGTATTTTAAGGTATCAAGAGAAGCTTACGTTTTCTAAAAGTCTGAGAACTACCTACTAGAGACCTTCAGTAACAGCGTTATTCAAACACCCTAATTTTACTTGGACCTGAGTGACAGCAGGAGATGACCCCTTCCACACGACACACACGCAGACCACAGAATGACCATCTAGAGAGAGTGGATGAAACCACGAATCCCTTGGCGCTTTCAATAAAGAAAGAGGGAGGGAGAGAAGAAACCAAATGGAAAAAAGGTCTGGTGGTGTTTTCATTTAACCCAGATCCCACTTAAGAACATCTTTCAAAAGTATGTACAGACATTGCTGACCTTTCACAAATTTTGTGTGGACTCACTGAGCACCCACAGGCAAGCCTACCAGGTAATAAACATGACCATTCAGTTGCCACCTAGAGTGAATACATGAGTTCTCTAACCCTAAAACCTGTCACAGAATACAGCTTCAGTTCACTTCTAGCATCAAAATATTCTAAAAACACAACAAAAAAATGTCTTGGCAAAATAAGCAAAACAAAAATCAACCCCAAACCTACTAACTCAAACTGAAATATCTGCTGTCATTGTTGCTTATAAACGTCAGATTAAAACTCCCCAGACGACATCCACTGAAATCAACAAGAGTGTGCCCCTGGGCTGGTGGGGCCTAAGGAACTGCACGTGTGGAGTTCTGTCGGATAAATCCTTGCGACTTCCCTGACGGCCCACTGGTTAAGACCTCCTCTACCAATGCAGGGGGTGCAGGTCTGACTCCTGGTCAGGGAGCTAAGGTCCCACATGCCTTGAGGCCATAAAACAAAAGCAGTACTGTAACAAATTTAATAAAGACTTTAAAAACGGCCCACATCAAAAACATCTAGAAAAATAAAATTAAATAAATACATCAATCCACTGTGCCCTGGGCTCACCTCATCTCGGGAAGGAAGGTCCTCTTATAGGCATTCTCAATGCCCTGAAGGTAGGCAGAGGTGATCTTCATCTCATGTGGCTAAACAAAAGCAGAGAAGTGCGATACGTTTGGACTTTTCTTTTTCCCGTGCTTATGGAAAATGTGAGACAATCAACAAACAGCTTTCCTAGAACGAGTCACGCTGGGCGCTCTAGGAACTGTGGGGTGATGGGAGGGGCTTCGGTGCCAGTTAGAACAGTTCTCATTGCGCCGCAGAGAGCACGGAAGCCTGCCCAGGTGAACGTATGGCATGACCTTTCTTTCACAGACTCTAAGAGGTGGACTTAGAACAGGAGCAGGAAGAACCCCCTCCACAGTTACGGCCCCGCCTCCCGTTCTGGGCCGTGCCCGAGGGCGGGCGATGCAAGACGACACGCCGCACCAGGGGACTGGCCCACGTCCCCCCCAACCCAAGCCGCAGAACCCGCCCCCGTGGCCAACTCTCTGCCCACCCCGCTTTTCTACCACTCACCCCCACCACTCCCGCTTTTTCCATCTCCACTTCCCTTTCACACGACATTTGCCAATTTCAGAAACGCAAAGCTCCAATTATGAGCGGCAAGTTTCCATACTGAAAACCTCTCACGGTTCAGC